TGCTGAGCATGTGCAATATTGAATAGAATCTAGCTCATTTTTCTCTACTTGTATTAGCTCTGCAGCACTAAATAGTAAGAACTTGGGTGAAAGGGGGTAAATAGTTAAGAACCATGATTCAGTAATATATAGGGAGCAAATATGCTGAGTAAGAAGGTGCCATGTGTATTATTTTCTTTCTCTTTTTCTACAAAATGATTCAGGGCATTGCTATAAAGTCATTTCACTAGGGCCAGTAATGCTGATATGATCATAACGTCTCAAGAAACGATTTAAGTCAGGTGTCTTGTTGCTAAATTGTTGGTGATAATGAAATTCAAAATCAATGGGCCTTGATTCAGCAAAACACTTAAGCACATGCTTAACTTTAAGCATAAAAGTCCCATAGAAGTCAGTAGACTACTCATATGCTTAAAGTTAAGCATGTGCTTAAGTACTTCCATGAATCAATGCCAGAGTCCGGCCTTCCAGGTATCTTCAGCATTTGAAAGGCAGAAGGAGTTTATTTTATTCCTGCTGTAGGTTACTGACTTAAAAGGAAAAGTGTCAGTAGAAAAGAAAAGAAAAGAAAAGAAAAGAAAAGAAAAGAAAAGAAAAGAAAAGAAAAGAATCATACTTCTGACTGAACATTGTTTTCCTATTATTGTTACCAGTAGCATCTAAAATGACTAACTGAAATAGATTGGAGACAAAACAATATTTTGTTATTTGTCTCCCCTCCCTCCTCCCCCTCCCCCCGTTAACTGGGCATTGTGCAATACTTTCTATATGTTCAATTCCACTGTTTCCCCTGTAGAATCAGTTAGTTTCCCTTCTTGATCCTGCTAGTTCTTTCATAAAGCAACCAGGGAGGGGAAAAAAACCTTTTAAAATAATAGAAAGTGATTGTTGGGGGCGGACCCACAAAATTGGTAGGAGGCATGTCCCAACATAATACCTGAAACTACTTTCTATATGTTCAGTTCCACTGTTTCCCCTGTAGAATCAGTTAGTTTCCCTTCTTGATCCTGCTAGTTCTTTCACAAAGCAACCAGGGAGGGGGAAAAAAACCTTTTAAAGTAATAGAAAGTGATTGTTGGGGGGGGGGCACAAAAATTGGTAGGAGGCATGTCCCAATATAATACCTGAAACTACTTGTAACTTTTTTTAAATTGACTATATTTCAAGTTGATTCACAGATTCCAAGACCAGAAAGGACCACTGTGATCATCCAGTCTCACTTCCTGTATAACACAGGCCATTGAATTTCCCCAAAATAATTCCTAGAGCATATATTTTAGAAAAAGATCTTGATTTAAAAATTTAATCTAATCTTAATTTAAAAATTGACAGTGATGAAGAATCTACCATGACCCTTGTTCCAATGGTTAATTACCCCCACTGTTAAACAGTTACACTTATTTCCAGCCTGAATTTGTCTACCAGCTATTGGACAGTGTTTTACCTTTCTTTGCTAGATTGAAGACCTCATTATCAAATATTTATTCCCCATGTAGGTACTTATAGATTGTAATCAAGTTACCACTTAACCATCTCTCTGTTAAGATAAACACAGTGTCCCTTTAATTTTTTTCAAGTAACGTGCTTGAGTCTTTCCTAGATTATTCATGACAGTACAGCAGACAATCCAAAGTATTGTTCTAGTTTATAACATTGTGTCTGTTTTACTATTGTGTTTTTGGCCAATCGCTTATTATTTCTTATACTCTATAATATAAAAAATGTTCCTATAAACAAAAGAACAACTACTGAAGAGTCTACATTTTTAATTTAATTTGATTTGATAGAAAACCAACCATCAGTAATTAGAGAGACACAGTGTAATAGTTTAAAAGTTTAAAATGTACTGAGCTAGAGCCTCAGCTGATGTACGTCGTCGGAGTTCCATTGACTTCCTTGACGAGACACCAATTTAACTAGTTGACATCTGGTGCAATTGTGATTTATTTTTTAAAAAATAGATGAAGGTTAGAAAGGGATTAGTTTAGATTATCTCTATGTCTGCTCGTTTTCTGTGATGATATATGCTATCTTTACCAGTTGTACAAAAGAGATGTCATGTACTGAAGTTTTCTAAAATAAATATTAATTAATGTTTTACATTTCAACCGTCTTTTGACCAATTATATCAAATCACGTCACAAAGATTAGCATCATTGTTCTCCGTTTTATAGGTGGCGATACTGAGGTACAAAGAGGTTCAGTGACTTGTCCAAGGTCATACAGTGAGTCAATAGCAAGGTCACACAAGGAGTGGTGCCTGATTCCCAGCTTTCTGCTCTTAACAACTGAACTACAGGATTTATAAGATGAAAACACTGAAAGGACAGGTCATGGGATCATAGTACTCCTAAATACATGGCAAAACAAAATGACAAACTTATGAAGTATGAACAGTCCTCAAAAGTATTTTGAACAAGTAACCATATTTTCATTTGAACCAATATATTTTTTAAAACATCAGGACACCCTGCAGTATGTTTGCTTCTTACACATCTCCCTCCCCTCCCAAAATATATCACTCACTGTGAAGCAGATGGGAAGGGGGGGAGGGCAAAGAAGGGGTACTTTTTGTTTTTTTTCTAACTGGGATAACAATTGGATCCCCACAGCCTTCCATTTCTCTTCGGAAACATAGGAACCCAAATTGGACAGAAAGATAGCCTGAAGAATCTTACTGTCATGGAAACAAGTCACCATTAATGAGCTTTCTAATAAGTGATTAACACCTGAATGCCATACATAATTATTGATTGGGAATCCAAATGTACACAGAGCAACCGCAGTGCCAGAAGTCTGGATAATGAGCAAACAAACAAGTTATCTCACAGTTTCTTCTTTCCATCACTTTACTGAGAGTGCTAGTTACATACAATACGGGCTTCCTTTCACATCAGAAGCCACAGAAAGTTTCCTAATTCGGAGCTGACAAACTGCTATGTGGAAAAAGAGCTTCTCACACTACTGCTGAATTGCTCCTCTTCCCCCATCGACCTTATTCCACTCAATAGTTACACTTCCCAGGAGTCAAGATGACTCTCTCACCTACCTCAGAAGTTTGTGGTGAGGCTGCCATGAATCAGGACAGGGAGCTTGCTTCTTGTTAGCAGGGAATTAGAAGACATTAACAAAACTCCATCCCCCCATATAACTAACCTAACACATTTTCACGCCAGAGCCACTTTTCGCAACACTTGTTTGCTGAACCAAAGAAGAAAACAAGTCAGTGGCTGCCAGAAAGACCAAGCTTGTCCCAATGCGAAAGCAGCTCTGTGCCACTGGCACTGCCAAGGTAAAACTCGCACTGGAAGAGACAGCCAGAGGTGCTGCAGGGAGATGCCTGACAGCCACATGACTTCTCCGGACGGAGGGGAGGGGACGGTACCTTTCAGTGCAAGAGAGACACGCTGGTGCGCAGGAGCTATCGCCACCAAACTCAATCTCCTTCCCTAGCTCTCCTCTGCCCTCTTCGACTCCCTCAGCCCCCTTCTGCCCTCGCTGGCTCGCCTCCCCCCAATTTCTTCGCTTCCCCTACTTGTTTCCTCTTCATTTCCCCCTCCTCTTACGCCTTCCTTCCTCTGCCCTCCGCAGCGTCCCTTTCCACTCTCCCCCTCTTCCCCTTCTCCACCTAGCTCTTCCTCTTCCCAGCCCCTTTCTTCTTACTCCCCTCCACACCCCCATGACAGATTTGGTGCGGGGCCACCCCGCCCAGGCTTCCCGTGTCCCAAGCGCCCAGACGCTGCCTGCAAACTTCACTGGCGCTACAGCGGGCTCCAAACGCATCCCTACAAGCTCCCGAGCAAACCCCAAGGTGCAGCCTGCGCCGCCAGCCCGGGGAGCCTCGCCTCCTGCTGCGCCCCTTGGCTAGAGCCACCGTGATCCCGCCTCGCCTCTAACCCTGGCCCGTTCCCAGGTGGCTAACCTGATCTTTACGATGCCCAGCCGGAGCCATAGGAGGGTTTGCGCTGGCTGGAGGACCGGCCTTTTGGGGAGTTATTCCGCAGGGCTGTGCTCAGGACGGGCGGGAGTGTTTAATCCACCAGGCTGAGTTTTAGGGAGCAGCCCACAGGCGGCACGGTGCCTGCTGCACTGGATTGCTCTGAGGAGTCAGTGCAGGGATGGGGCTAGATCGGGGGGGAGGGGGAGGCGCTAAGCGAATTGAGTTAGTTTTGGGGGTCCCTGCTGGGACGAGGCATAGGGGAGTACTGCACGCAGGAATAGGGGGCATTAGGGAGTACTGCACATATGGGGTACTGGGGGCCCTGCGGGGATGGGGAAGAGGAGAGAACTGCACACATGGATGGGGCATTAGGGGGTATTGAATACAGGAGAGGGGCATAGGGGAGTACTGCACACATATATGGGGCATTAGGGAGTATTGCATACAGGGATGGGGCACGAGGGAGTATTGCATACAGGAGAGGGGCATTAGGGGAGTACTGCACACAGGGATGGGGCACTAGGGGGTATTGAATACAGGAGAGGGGCATAGGGGAGTACTGCACACAGATATGGGGGCATTAGGGAGTATTGCATACAGGGATGGGGCACGAAGGAGTATTGCATAC